CTGCCTGCCAGTAGCGCGCTCCAGTTCCGCTATCATTACCACCATCTTCTGGTAGACCTCCTCCTTGGTCGCTGTAAACGCAACAGCTGAAAGACCAGTATGATCGTCAAGCAGAGTTGTCACGTAACGCAAACCACTAGGCGAAGGTTCAGGCATAGGTCCACACACATCCATGTGAATGAGTGCGAGAGGCTGCGCTGCCTTATGCCCAGTTAGCGGAAAAGGACCACGTGTATGCTTAACAAGGACGCAAGTCTCACACACACACGCGCTGGCTGATTGTATGCTGTGTCGGTCAACATCGAATCCAGCTACCATATCATGACGCAGCAGCGCCTCAAGGTTGCTGTATCCTAAGTGGCCATACCTTCGGTGCCAAAGTGCTGCACGTTCAGCTCCGATACCCACGGCAGCACACACTGCATCACCACCAGAAGGTATCCTGTTGTCTTCACGCTGCGTCCACTTCAGAGCACCAGTACCTCCACTGCTGTAGTAGACGGGATACAAGTCCCCATCCCGCTTTCCAGTCAGCACCAACTGATTCTGTACGTACACTTTCACCTGTCCTCCGCCGAAGACCACACTGCCTCCACGATCATCAATGATGCGGACCGATATGATTTTGGCGGTGGCCTCCTCGTCGACGTAGACCTTCTTGAAAGTGATGGCCTGTTTATCGTTGACGTTAGACCGAATCATAAGCGTGCCAACTTCAGTCGGCCGAAGAGACTGTCCCTTGATGCCCATGATGTTGAAGCGCTCCCATGGCTCCAATAACCGCACGTTGAGAAGTTCTGAGCGGTCATACATTATGTGGTGAGTGGCGGCTGAGTCCAGAAACCATTCCGTCGGACGCTCGCTGTTGTATGCCACGAACGCTACCTGCCGCGGAACTCCTGGTCCCCTAGCTGATCCACCGGATCCTGGCTTGCTGCCGCTAGCTCCGCTGCCACTAGCTCCGCTGCCACTGTTGTTGTAGCCACCCTTATATCCAGAATTTGACGACTGCTTGAGCGCTTTAAGCTGCCTGCAGTCCTTTACCACGTGCCCAGGTTTATTACAGTAGTAGCAGATGAGTTGCTTCCGACTGTGTCCCGAGCTGCTGTTAGCCGGCCCCCGGCTACCATAACCAGAAGTAGAAGCGCCGAACGTCGAACCGCCGACAGACGCGAAGGCTGCCGACTCGGTAGGCTTGCCCGACCCACCGTTAGCCGTCTCGACAGAGAGAAGCTTGGCTGTGACGTTCGCCATATCCAAATCGCCGTCACGCATCAGTAATGTAGTCGTCACCACGCTGTACCGATTAGGTAGACCAACTAGGACTGTATATGCCAGCTCGGAGTCGTTAATTACGTGGCCGACTCCCAACAAGTCCGTTTGCAGCTGTCTTGCACGCGCAAAGTACATCGGAAGAGGTTCGCCGTCGACCATCTTAAAACGGCTGAATTCTTGACGTAGAGCCACCTTGCGGGCGTTGTTGTTGGCAGCAAACATAGAGCCCAAGGCGTCCCAGGCCTTCTTCGCGTTGGCAGCACCGGTAACCATCGGCAAGTGGTGATTCTTCACGTTCTTGTTAAGCAGATTGATGACCTTCCGTGATTGACGAATCTGCTCCTCGTTGCACGGCTCGGCGAGCAAGGACTGCTCAAGCCCAAGCTCCATGCACATCGTGCTAAACCGGATTTGCCACGTGGAGTAGTTGTGGAGGTCCAGCGGGTCATCAAGCGTATCCTTGACCATTGTCGATAAGGGATAGAAATAACAATCGGACGATAGCTGTCGGCGCTAGACGGGGCTTATAACCTATTGGAGAATTGGCGACGGTGACGGCTAACGCTGATTGTTATCTCGGAAGGAATGCCGGCGGCGAAGATGTTTAGCACGATAAACTGTTACAAGTAATGTAAAGAGTATTAATAGCGTTCGGCAGGACTTGAGGAGATTCCTTTGAGGAATACCGATCGTTGTGAGATAAACAAATAAGCGCAGTCACCGCCCTAAATACCGGCGCTAGCGGAAAACTCGTACATTCCGCGATCTAACTGCACGTACATTCCGCGATCTCACTGCGCCGTCCTGACGGTGCCCAAATGTCTATCACTTAGCTACCGGATATGCATCGGTAGCCCATAAGGTTCTGGGTTAAGTCTTCCCCGATAGTTAGGCGCAGACCCGGGGTCAAATCCCCTGGTCGACAACCACACGAGTTGGGAGAGGACCTGGACCTTGGTACTCGGCCTCCACCGACGAAGCCGCCACAATACGTTGAAGTTGGCTGCTCCAGCTAATCGCAGCCCCATTAAGAGTGAATACGTAACCGGACGTAGAACGCTGCGTAACTGGGTCTCCTGCCCAGTCCGAATCACTGTACCCAGACATTGCAACACCGCCAACACCCCCAAAACGCAATCCTAGTTCGCGAGTACCCGCCAGGTAACGTAGAACACCAGTTGCCAAGTTCATGGCACTCTTCTTAGGTGTGGCCATAAGCCGGGACAAAACACTCCATGCATAAGGAATGTCAGGCCGAGTGTTAGTCGCTAGGTAGTCCAACTTTCCCACCAAAGCCCTATGCACCATGGGAATACCCAGCAGCTCATCTCTATCCCCCGTAGGTGTGCAACTAAAACCTGGAGGCAAAGGGGTAGACCGTGGCTTGGCGTCCACCGCCTGGTGACGCTCCAATAGCTGCTCAATATTGCGACAACACTAATTCATCCTCAGTATTTCCATGCCCGAAAACACCTGCGCTTCTCCAAGTTCTCGTACTTCTCGTACATCTTTGCACCTAGCCATGCAAAAAAGCGCTTGACCGTGTCACCTTCCACTCTTTTCAACTTGTACAACCACCATAGGTGGCACATGCGCAGCATAAGGTTGTACACACAGCACACAAGTGCAGTTGACCATCACTATGCGCCACTCATTTGCCCCTGCTCCTGAAATGGCTTCAGTGAAAGTATTACTTAGCAAAAGTTCAGCAGGGTACGTACGGATCAGTGACAGCCACGTTAATGCAACCTACTATCCTCCTTCCTGCAACACCATATCACCACCCCGAGGGCTATAATATCTCCTCATATTCCCTGCCCTATTCTTCTGAACTCCTGCGCTGGCTTGCACCACTAGATGCTTCGGCTTCATCCGGCATTCCTTCACCATCCACAGGTGACAGTGGTGCCCAGCCGACTGTGTTTCCTAAGTCTAACGGAGCTTGGCAGAGGCCCTGACTCAGGTACACCAATACTAGCCGCTTCGGAGTCAGACAATTCATAGTGGTTCTTATCTTGCAGCAAAAAAATACACGGCATCACTGCACTGCTGCCACCGCCTGTCTGTTGAGGCATGCTACCCCACCTGCCACGTGTGGTCGCCAAGACCACCTCCACTCCTTCCCTGCACGTAAGGCTGCGGCTCTCTTTGCAACTCCAAGCTATACGGCCCGTCTGTTTGTAGTTGCAGCAAATGATCGCCTGCTGCAATCCACGGTGTCCAGCGGGGTCTACCGGATTCAGAATGTTCGCGGCACTCACTGCCGCCAGTCGTCTGCATGTGGACCTGGGACTGCTTCGGCATACAAGTTTGTCCAAGCAGATATATTGCAGCATTGACTCGGCCTGTGAGAGTACGACCGCATTCATTTCGTCACCACTCGCCAGGACGTTTGTGTTCCTTGACTGAATACCGAACCCCCAGCATTTCCACATCAGGGTGTGAATTTTGTTGAGGGAACGGTCCTCTCCCAACTCGTGTGGTTGTCGACTAGGGGTTTTGACCCCGGGTCTGTGACTAACTATAGGGGAAGTCTTACCCCAGAACTTTATGGGGCTACCGATGCATATCCGGTAGCTAAGTGATAGACATTAGGGCACCGTCAGGACGGCGCAGTGAGATCGCGGAATGTACGTGCAGTTAGATCGTGGAATGTACGAGTTTTCCGCTAGCGCCGGTATTTAGGGCGGTGACTGCGCTTATTTGTTTATCTCACAACGATCGGTATTCCTCAAAGGAATCTCCTCAAGTCCTGCCGAACGCTAATAATACTCTTTACATAACTTATAACATTTTATCGTGCTGAATATGGGGGCCCTTGTGAAGCAGCTGCCCGCGTTTCCAAAGCACGTATGGTGATGTGGAAGGTGGCAAAGTACGTCGGTGAAATATAATGTGGTAGGACTGGAGAGAATAGTGTAGCAGTATAATGTATTGTGAGCGTAGCTGAAGCTTTCATCGTGGGCGCGCCTCGTTGCAAGCTAAGCAACGCGTATACATGACGTGTAGCATTAGTCCTCAGTTCACTTCTTGTAACGAACATCAGCATAGGTCCAAGCCCTTTCGCTTGGAGGGATATATGCAAACAAACATCCTGATAGGTAAACTCGCATGCTACCGAGCATTCAACCGAGCATATGCATGCTTAGTTGAATGGTGAGATGAGACCTTCCGTCATTTCGTGCTCGGCAAGCCTGCCACCGCGTACCGGATATGTTGGCGATGTTACAGAGACGCTGCACCTTGGTTTCTGTGCGCAATGCATACGATGCTCGACCCCGCCGACCAAAACTACACGTGTCCAGCTGAAGACACACCGGTGGTTGTGCAGCAGCTCTTGAGGCTTTGTTGGCTGAAATCCATCCTGAGCTGTTGCAACACAGCTAACGCGGGCACGTCCCTATGCACAGCAAATAGCTGTTCCAAGCCAACAGCGGCGTCCATGTCACCGACAAGGCTCTAAACATCTTATCTGTTCTTATGTTTAATTAAGTTTATGTATGTTATACTTTGCGCAACTTTGTAATTTGACTTGAGTCGGAACAAGGTGCTGTATGCGCTGCGCTGCAGAAAGCAGGCGCCTTTTGGCTTGCACACGACTGCCTCTTCGCCAGACGCTTCCTCTTCCCGCGGCAGTTTCACGAGCCCAGTGTTGCAAGCTACGACGTAGGCTTTCGGTGCTTTCAGTTACTGCAAAGCAGCCACGCAATAGACTAGGCTGCATGCCGCGTGCGACTATGCCCATCGTGCCCACCTGCGCAACACGCTGGCGCAACTCGTTTGCTTGCGCAAACTGCCGCTTCGCCAAACGCTTCCTCTTCCGCGGCCGTTTCAAGCGCCCAGTCTTGCAAGCTACGTTGTTTGCTTTCATATCTTTTTCAGCTCAGGCTAAGCAGCCAGCCAAAAGTCCGAGATGCATGCCGCTTGTGACTGCGGCCAACATGCCCTGATGAGCGGCCTTTCGCCGAGAGAATTTTATACACTTGCACACGCGCAATTTGTGAATCGAACGCGTGCACCCGCGCGGTGAAAATCGCTCCTGGCTTTTGGGGCGACATGTACGAACTCTTTATTCGCGAAGTACGACCGGACACATTTGTGCGAGAGGCTGCTCAGTAGCACATTTGCTCGACCAATGGGGACTGCACACAACACCCATAGCTTCTCTGCACCGTTTGAACTTCACTTCTCCCAGTGCCTTCGTGAGCGCATCCACTACCATCAACTCTGTAGGGCAGTACTCAAACTGCACCTCCCCGCTATTCACCCACTCACGCACTATGTGGTGCTGCACGTCGATGTGTTTCTGTTGAGGAAACGGTCCTCTCTCAACTTGTGTGTTTGTCGACCAGGGGATTTGACCCCGGGTCTGCGCCTGACTAATGGGGAAGACTTACCCCAGAACCTTATGGGGCTACCGATGCATATCCGGTAGCTAAGTGATAGACATTAGGGCACCGTCTGGACGGCGCAGTGAGATCGCGGAATGTACGTGCAGTTAGATCGCGGAATGTACGAGTTTTCCGCTAGCGCCGGTATTTAGGGCGGTGACTGCGCCTATTAGTTTATCTCACAACGATCGGTATTCCTACCAGGAATCTCCTCAAGTCCTGCCGAACGCTAACAATACTCTTTACATTACTTGTAACAGTTTATCGAGCTAAATATCTTCGCCACCGGCAATCCTACAGGAATAACAATCAGCGTTAGCTGTCACCGTCGCCAATTCTTCAATAGGTTATGAGCCCCGCTTAGCGCCGACAGCTATCGCTCAATTGTTATTTCTAACCCTCATCGACAATGGTTAAGGACAAGCTTGATGAGTCGCTGGACCTCAACAACTACTCTACCTGGCAAATTCGGTTTAGCGCGTTGTGCATGGAGCTTGGGCTTGAGCAATCCTTGCTCGCCGAGCCGTGCAACGAGGAGCAAATTCGACAGTCACGGAAGGTCATCAATCTGCTCATCAAGAACGTCAAGGATCATCATTTGCCGATGGTTACCGGTGCTGCCAACGCGAAGAAGGCCTGGGACGCCTTGGGATCTATGTTTGCTGCCAACAACAACGCCCGCAAGGTGTCTCTACGTCAAGAATTCAGCCGTTTTAAGATGGTCGACGGCGAACCTCTTCCGATGTACTTTGCGCGTGCAAGGCAGCTGCAAACAGATTTATTGGGAGTCGGCCACGTAGTTAACGACTCCGAGCTGGCGTACACTGTGCTAGTTGGTCTACCCAGTCGGTACAGCGTGGTGACGACTACATTACTTATGCGCGACGGCAATTTGGACATGGCGAGCGTCACAGCAAAGCTTCTCTCTATCGAGACGGCTAACGGTGGGTTGGGCAAGCCTACCGAGTCGGCAGCCTTCGCGTCTGTCGGCGATTCGACGTTCGGCGCTTCTACTTCTGGTTATGGTAGCCGGGGGCCGGCTAACAACAGCTCGGGACATAGTCGGAAGCAAGTCATCTGCTACTACTGTAATAAACCTGGGCACGTGGTTAAGGACTGCAGGCAGCTTAAAGCGCTCAAGCAGTCGTCAAATTCTGGCTACAAGGGTGGTTACAGCAACAGTGGTAACGGAGGTAGTGGCAGCGGAGCTAGCGGCAGCAAGCCAGGATCCGGTGGATCAGCTAGGGGGCCAGGAGTTCCGCGGCAGGTAGCATTCGTGGCATTCAACAGCAATCGTCCGACGGAATGGTTTCTGGACTCAGCCGCCACTCACCACATAACGTATGACCGCTCAGAACTTTTCAACGTGCGGTTGTTGGAGCCGTGGGAGCGCTTCAACATCATGGGCATCAAGGGACAGTCTCTTCGACCGACTGAAGTTGGCACGCTTACGATTCGGTCTAACGTCAACGATAAACAGGCCATCACTTTCAAGAAGGTCTACGTCGACGAGGAGGCCACCGCCAAAATCATATCGGTCCGCATCATTGATGATCGTGGAGGCAGTGTGGTCTTCGGCGGCGGACAGGTGAAAGTATACGTACAGAACCACTTGGTGCTGACTGGAAAGCGGGATGGGGACTTGTATCCCGTCTGCTACAGCAGTGGAGGTACGGGAGCTCTGAAGCGTGAAGACAACAGGATATCTTCTGGTGGTGATGCAGGGTGTGCTGCCGTGGGTATCGGAGCTGAACGTGCAGCACTTTGGCACCGAAGGTATGGCCACTTGGGATACAGCAACCTTGAGACGTTGCTGCGTCATAATATGGTAGCTGGATTTGATGTTGACCGACACAGCATACAATCAGCCAGCACGTGTGTGTGTGAGACTTGCGTCCTTGCGAAACATACACGTGGTCCTTTTCCGTTATCTGGGCATAAGGCAGCGCAGCCTCTCGCGCTCATTCACATGGATGTGTGTGGGCCTATGCCTGAACCTTCGCCTAGTGGTTCGCGTTACGTGACAACCCTGCTTGACGACCATACTGGTCTTTCAGCTGTTGCGTTTACAGCGACCAAGGAGGAGGTCTACCAGAAGATGGTGGTAATGATAGCGGAACTGGAGCGCGCTTCTGGCAGGCAGGTTAAGGAGGTGCGTACGGATCGTGGCGGGGAGTTCGTTAATACTCGCACGAAGGCCTATTTCGCTTCCAGGGGTATTCTACACGGAACTACGGTAGGCTACACCCCTGAGCAGAACGGAGCTGCAGAACGTTTAAATCGCACTCTTTTGGACAAGACTAGGGCTATGCTCGTTGAGTCTGGACTGCCTAAATCATTATGGGCGGAGGCGTTAGCGACAGCCAACTATCTTAGGAATGTGTAATGTAATGTTACAGAGTGGGAAGCTTCTGGGCCGCTTTATCACATTGTCAGTTCTAGATCATTTATCACCTTATAGCACCATCCACCACTACCACACTGTACTTCGCCATACGAACTGTAAGTCCAAGGCGGCGGATCCAGCCTTCGGGGACCCCTCCTCATCCATTCACCCGAACACCCGAAGAGACGGAGGGTTCGGCAATCGCCACCAATCCAGCGTGCGAATCTTGTCCATCAACTGTGACCTCAACTCCACATCTCAGCAGCTAGCCATAATCTCGCGCTCCCGACTAATTCGGGGGTCTCCCCAGGAATCGAACCCGGGACCTTAAACCGCTAATTGCAGTAGTGTCAACCCAGACCAGACTCTTAGGAATGTGTCGCCAACTGCTGGGTCAACCGTCACTCCGTACGAAGCTTTCTTTAACGTTCGTCCGAACGTCAGTCACCTGCGAGTCTTTGGATGTGTTGCCTACGTCCACGTACCCGACGTCAAGCGCGACAAGTTCGACCCGGTGAGCAGGCGTGGAATACTTGTCGGATACGGGAACGGTGGACAGTATCGTGTACTATACGAGGACGGCATTATTGGGTGGCGAGGGGGCGCCGGCTGGGGCTGGACCTTCCAGCAGTGCGAACGGGCAAGGAATCAATCAGCCTGATGTGGAAATGGCGGGAACTAGGTACCCAGTTAGAGAGCGTAAACGCCCTGGCGAATGGTGGCGAAACGAACCTGGTCGCACTGTCACTGGTCGCGTTAACGCTGCTTTCTCTGCTGGTATTCCTGAGCCTAATTCGTTTGAGGAAGCAATTGCAAGTCCACATGCAGACGACTGGCGGCGTGCGATGGACGAGGAGATCGCCGCCCAGATGGCTAATAGTACTTGGGAGTTGAAGAAGCCACCTCCTGGTACTCGTTTGTTGCCGTGTCGTTGGGTATATTAGGTTAAGTACAGCGATGACGGCAGCGTGGAGCGTTTTAAGGCGCGTTTAGTTGCCAAGGGTTTCGAGCAACGCGAGGGGATTGATTATGGGGAGTTGTTTGCCCCTACCTCTCGTGGTTCGTCATTGCGTGCTTTATTAGCAGTTGCCGCAGCCCGGAACATGACGGTACATCAGCTGGATGTGTCTACTGCGTTTCTGAATGGTGAGCTGAAGGAGGAGTTGTGGATGGAGCAACCGCCTGGGTATGCATCCAGTGACCGGTCGCTTGCGTGCAAGCTGCAGAAGTCTATTTACGGTTTAAAGCAGGCACCCCGTTGCTGGTATGAAAAACTATCAGCAGAGTTCGCCAAGTTGGGTCTTTATCCTTCGAAGTCTGATCCGGCGATGTTCGTTAAGACTGACGAGCGTGGGGTTGTTATTGCTTTGGTGCACGTAGATGACACTATTGTTGCGTCGGAAGACCCGGAAATGGTCCGGGCAATTAAAGCTGCAATTGCTAAGGTCTTCAAGGTGCGCGACCTTGGAGAAGCGAAGNNGTGTTTGGGGGCATGGAAATTAGGAGGGAGAAGTCGGGTGAGATAGTGTTGTCGCAGCATAGGTATATTGCGCAGCTGTTGGAGCGTCATAGGATGATTGACGCCAAGCCGAGGTCTACCCCTTTGCCTCCGGGCTTTAGGTACACTCCTAAGGGGGACGGAGAGGAGCTGCTGGGCAATCCCACAGAGTATAGGGCTTTGGTGGGAGAATTGAACTATCTGGCGACGAACACGCGGCCTGACATTTCATATGCATTGAGCGTTTTGTCCCGGCATATGGCCGCACCTACGAAGACTGCCATGAACTTGGCAACCGGCGTTCTGCGTTACCTGGCGGGTACACGCGAACTAGGATTGCGTTTTGGGGGTGTTGGCGACGTTGCTATGTCCGGGTACAGTGATTCGGACTGGGCAGGAGACCCAGTTACGCGGCGTTCTACGTCCGGTTACGTATTCACTCTTAATGGGGCTGCGATTAGCTGGAGCAGCCAACTTCAACGTACTGTGGCGGCTTCGTCGGTGGAGGCTGAGTACCAAGCTACAGCGGCGGCTGTTCGTGAGGCTTTGTGGCTTCGCAAGCTGATGGTTGATTTGAGCTTGCCTGAGAGCCCGGT